AGTTACGTTCCTTAACCATCCGATTGGGTTTCCTTCGAACGTATCCTGAAAGGGCGGCCAAAGTAACGCGGTGAGATGTGGAGCCGAAGATTATTTATGAGCAGATAAGGTATACATAGTAAGTAAAGGTCTTACAAGGCGAACCCATAGTTCCATGTCTTCAATTATGGAGGGCTTGAAAACCATCTTCTTCCATTTTTCAATTTTAACGGAAGTATTTTTAGATTTTCTGGGGGGTATAAGAGGTGATGTGGATCCATTACTGAATGAAAGAGTAACTTACCATTACTCCATCTTTGAAGGAGATCGCCAACGTTCATGACAAGAGCGTTTTCGATCGGCGTGGCTCTAATAAACTGGCCTGGCTGCTTGATATTTTCAACCTCTAGGCCGCCACAACCATCCTGGAAGAGTATGGTAATGGAACTCCAATCTGTATGAGCAGGCATACGGGCATACCGTTCGTTCTCCAACGCTGCAGCCGGCAATGGAGGATAATGGAGGAGCCGAAGTTGGTTATTATGACCAGAGTGTAATTTGAGCAGGTGGTGCTCGTCTCCAAGACCGATGCCAATGGATATTGCTCTAAGAATATCACTAGCAACGGTAAAGCATTCCCAATAGAACTCCATCATAAAGCTTTGGAAGCCGGGAAGCGTATCTTCGGGAATCCAGACGTTCGGCTGGTGAGAATCCTCATTACTTCCCATATCATAGCTTTCCTGTAAAAGCCAAAAAAAAAATATGAGTATTATAACTCGCTTTTCCTAGCACTGTGAACGAGTATCTTGATGACAGTATAAAAAAAAATAAAGAAGACTGTGTATGGCTCAAGATACCTTATAATCGGGGATAGCTCGCAATTTCTTTATTATTAATTCCGGCATGTCCTTATCACCCATTTCCTGTGATACCTTTTCGAGGCCTGGCCAGGAATATCCCCGATGGATTGAAGAACCATTCGGGTGTGGAGCTTGGAGCTTTTGCTCAGGCGTGAGGTCAAAAAACCGTTTTGACCATGCAAATGCCTCCGCCAGGCGCTCTGCAGGAATGCCATGGTTGGTAATATATGCAAATCCAACATTCCGACACGCCGACACGATCTCTTTGGCAACTTTCATACGTTTCTCTGGCGTATTTCCCGATCTCCAGGAGGAAAAATCGACGAGTGGAATATAGGCAGCGGGTTCATTGTTGGCGCTGTCTTCGCAGCCAGGTTGCTGCTGCTGTATATTTTCTAAATTCATGCCTCGGTTTCGGTCACTCAGATTTGATCAACATAGACATACACACATAAACATATATTTATATATATGCAAGTAAGGAGTTATCATAATAGACTGATATCTTTCCCGAGAGGAGACGACAGTCCGATTTTGCAGTCGCCATTGGAATCAGGTGACTGCAATGGGAACAAGGCCTCCCATGCAGAATTGACAAACCTCAGGTTTTTTCTGACCCGTTTTATATCTGGCCTCTTTGTATTTTGTCCATTGCTAGATTAGCAGTTAGACATCGTTGCGGAAGAGGGTAAAAGCAACTAAGACAAACGAGGTGAGATAAGTCTACCCCTTTTTAAAATCTAGCAAGCCCCGCTAATCTACAAGCTCCTAATGGATCCGGTGCTTTCTTATACAGTACTTCCTATGGCCGCAGCCCAAAGCAGAACCCATCTGTACATAGTCTAGAGCTGCTGTAGTTGAACATGGCAGCTGTTTCCCTACCGGAAAAGTATCTTGGAATGAATGAATCACACCACGTAAAGATGTTGGAGGAGGAACGAGCTGGCGGCAACACGGGCCCAATCCCATATAAAGGAAGGGATAGAACCTTCCTGATCCCAATAGGCAACGCACCCTCACGTTGACGCTCGCGGAGCAGGTATTTTGTTCCCCAGCGCATGCAAAAGGGGAGGGCTGACTGCAACCTGTTCCAGTCATTGCCACTTGCTATCCATCCTCAGAACGCAGCTATACTATGTATTTTCCACCTCTCATCCCTTCCGATAATGTATTTCTTAACATCAGTGAAGTCCTATGTTGTCTATTTCTCATTGGCCTTTCAGCTTTCTTCTTATTTTGCAGGAGCATTGCCCTCATGTAGGTCACCCAAACAGTGAGCAAAGAAAACGGCGTGAGGTGTAAGCTATCTACCAGCTTGAGTATCGCCTAACTGACTTTGAAAAATATGCAATCATAGGCTTCGTGGGCGAAAACGAAACGACTCCTACTGCCGTAATTCGTTACGCGGCGCTGGGGGACAGTTACGCCTCAGGAATCGACGCCGGCAGAAAACTTCACAATTCCTGTTGGCGGTTTAAGGACAGCTATCCTATGCAGTTGATCCGTTCAGGCGTGCTGGGTCAAAACCACGCTTTTCAGTTTCTTGCCTGCTCGGGCGCAGTGATGGGTATACCAGGTACTCCCTTTAGCAAGCATAAATCAATCGATAGACAGATAAAGGCCCTCAAACCCTCTGATCTAGTCACGTTGTCGATTGGAGGCAATGATGCTGGTTTCTTTGATATCCTTAACGCATGCGTTTATCGATTCTATGGCACCCGATCGGGAAATTGCAGCGAGCAACTGGAGAAATCAAAGAAGCTTATTTCCAGCGACGAATTTGCGGATGCATATCATAAGACCTTAATCAACATATTAGCCAAAGGCAATGGGCCTCATTTTCGTCTCCTAACATTAGGATATAGCCCGTTCTTCGACGAAGCCCTTTCTGATGACTGCAATAACAGATCCTTCGGATTTTGGAAAATGTGGCAGCCGAAGCTTACGGTAAATTTACGCCAACAACTAAATGAAATCTCCCTCGAACTGAACAACAAGATTGTTCATCTCATCAAGGACTTAGATGATGAGCGGATCGTTTGGGTTGACTGGTCTCCCAAATTCAAAGACCATCTTTTTTGCCAACGGGGTAACAAAACGATAAGCGATGGCGACAATACTTGGTTCTTCGATGTGGATTTCAGCTCAACGAACTTGACGAATGACGATGTGTTACGTCGATGTCGACACTTGCACGCCGCAATCGCAGTACTCCAGCGATTGGGGCCACCTAGCCGCTTGTGGGATCGCGATGGTCAATGCGCAACCTTCGGAATATTCACAAATGCGATATCAGAGCTCAAACGATGACGAAAACGAGGTTGACGGCGATTTCTCTGCCGATCACTATCCCAATCAACGTGGCCTGGCGCGTGTCTTCCATCCTAAGCCGCAAGGATATAAGGCTATTGCAGAAGCAATTCGGAATCACTGGCGGGCGAATGCCTTGTGAGCCGTATGTATTAGACAAATAGACGTACGCTATGAGGGGATTCCCAAACTACTTTGGTCAGAGAAAGTTAATTAAATTTCAATGCGGGAAGCTTGCCCGACACTACTAGTACACTACATGTACCCC